GGTGCGCTTGGGCAGGGAACATGGGCGCAATTGCGGCCATCTCCCCCCCCCCCGCATGAATGTGATTGTGCCAGTGCAGGGAAGGTGTGCGCATGCTTACAATCATCACCTGATGCAGAGTCTGCAACCTGCGGCAAAATTTTTATGAAATTTCTGTTTGCGAACTGATTTGGTCGTGAACTGAGGTATTCGTGAGCCGAAGTACCACTGTATTCTGTACAACCTACAAAGAATGTGATCATAAGTTGTGTTGTCGATTGGAAGAGCTTATCATGCTGCCTGAATGTCCCCAACAACCTATTATTTTTTAAACCAATAGGTTGTTGTTATGCATGAATATGAACTGGTTCACACACAAACTCGTAGCTTTCTTTAATCCACAGTTAACTCATTATTTGTTGGCCCACATAAGGTTTATCTGGCAGCCAACCAAAGAAACCATGGTTTCTTTTCTTCATCCCTAGTTTGTTTCCCACTCCCTTCACCTGCTTCCTCCCTATATCCCAGATTCCTTTGCTGTCCTGTAGTACTAGCAGATTAAGCATCTGTTTTTTTCTTTTCATTTCATTTCTTTTCATTAACTTCTGCCTGTCACCTCTGTCGTCTGGCTGTATGACCCAGATTCACAACCTGAAAAACTACAGCTTCCTTTTATGCGTAATTTGTGCTTAGCAAACCATGGCTTCTTAGAGCAGCTTTCGTGCTGAGGATGCATCATCTTTATCCGGAAAGAGATACATCCCTGACCCTGAAAGGAAAAGAACCTGAACTACAGGAAAGATGAGGTTGAACAAGTATGCCCAGTCCTACCTGAAGGGAGAGTCCTCTGTTTGAATGCATCCTCAAGGACTGAATTCCACTTCAGAGAAGCTCTGGGTGGCTGCATTCCAGTGGTGGGAAAGGCCAAAGGTGAAGTGGCAGTGGCCAGATGTACCGTATTTTTCCATCCATAAGATGCCCCCATGTATAGGGTGCCCCCCACTTTTCTTACCGATCTCTGAGGGAGCAAGCTGCTGCCGCACACGTGCCCACACACCTGCCACCTCCCCGCGCACGTGCCCACGATCACGCCAACCTCCCCCCCCCCGAGTGCACCAGTGATCGCACCAGTCTCCCCCACACACAAGCACGCCCGCGGTTCTCCTCTCGGCCCCCCGTTATAAGATGCCCCTCCACTTTTAGGTAAATATTTTAAAGAAAAAGTATCATTTTATACACAGAAAAATACGGTATGTCTTAGTCATTTGGACACTACTCCACCAAGCACATGCAGCATCCTACTCAGAAATATGCCCTTGTGCAGTGATGCGCGTGCCTGTGTCAGGAAATCCCAGCTGAGCAGCCCGGGAGAATGTACACTCAGAGCCACAGGAAGATGTCTTCCTCACAAACCTCGGCAGTTTTATTGGTGAGAACACCCAGAAAAGCCCCCTCTGCAGAGACGAAACTTATAACAGTGCTGCCAGGTAGAGGTACGCCAACCACCTACACGCTTCCAGAGCACAGAGTTTTTTATAAGTTGTGAGTTGTGTACACAGTTTCAAGGCAGTGATGGGATTCTGAATGGGTGAGAGGGCAGGGACAATGGGGAATAACACAGAATCATTGAGGAATCATTATAAATTCATTACAGATAAAACAATCAGGAGTTACAGAAATCTTATGGGTTTAAAATATTGCAGGTTTTTCAGTCAGAGATACAGAATTCTTTAAGACAAGGGTTGGCTGCCTGGGTATTTTTTACACTGGAAAAGGAGTAGTTTCCCCAAGGGCTTGTCTGATTCTTCGAGGAAATGCATGAATAATGGAGCCTCCAGGGATGCCTGTTTTTCCCAGGTGTGTGAAATTTGACCAAAAGTTCTGGGCAAGAGGGACACTGCAGTTTGATTTTCTATCAGAAAGGCACACATAAGTAACTTTTCTCCACAAAGATTTAGTTGGATTTTCCCAGCACCTGCCAAGCACACAGTTCAGTCCAGTGTCTGGAAATGAGGGTATCTGATGTTTTGAAAATTTCTCTTATCACCAATAGCTAATGGGAGATAATAGTGGAAGAAGCTTGTGGGCTGAAGGTTTCATGGCCAGGCTCTCTCTGAAGGGTTAATCCAAATTCCAGTTCAAAGATGACACTCGGGAAGGAGAGCAGAAGCATTTCAGCCATCCTAGCATTGATTGATTGATGAGGCAGACTATGCTTTAAGCTACTCCTTTTCATTGTGTGCTGCTTTTGTGGGTAACCACGTGAAGGCTCACTGGTCAGGGAGGTCAATCAGGGAGATAAACTAAGAGGGCTGCTGTGCCTCTGGACCCAGTATGGTTCCTTACCCCTCCTACACAGCACAGTATGCATTTCTAAAAATTGAGGAAAGTAGTCATGACTCGAAAGATATATTATTAGTTTATAGGGATATAGCTCTATATCCCTACAATGCTAATTAAAAACCTTTTAAAAGACCTGTCTGATCACCACCACTTATCACCTTCTTGAAATGGTGGGGAAATATTTCCCCCCACCCCATATATATCTACTAGTGGGTGGGTGGGTGTATTACAGTGTTGTAAGTAATTTAAGTGGCATTACTAGATTTAGTGTACAACCCAGCTGAGATGTCCATAACCCTCTAAACGTGGAGGCTTACAGACATCCAATGGAGGGTGAAAGGTGTGCAGATGCAAGGGGCAACTATGTACTCCTGAGTCCCATGGATCTCTTAAACATCTAAGAGTAGTACCTTCAAGTGGGAGAAAAGGGAGCTGGCATGCCACCAAGGTTCAAGGTAGCTTGGTGGCACGTCTCCTTCCCTCCCCACTTGCAGGAGCAGTTTCAACAGTTCTTCTGCAAGATTGCTCTTGTGACCTTGGAGACTCAGCCAGCATGCTTCTGTCTGTGGCCGGTGCAGGGTCAGAAAATGGGATCCAAGGGCACATCCCTAGCTGTGATGGCCAAGCAGCTGGGACTCTGAGCAATCCTATGGCCAGCTAGATGCTGTCATTAAATAGCATCCAGTGCAATGGCGATAGAGAAAATGCTAACCTGTAATAGGTTCAGCTACTTGATAACGTAGTATCTCCATTAAAGTGATGACTCTTTTAAAAATAGACAAAAGAATAACACTAAGAGTATCAGTGTGGACAGAACAAAGTGGGAAATACTGAAAGAAAACACACTATACCACTCATAGTGTGGAAAGTCAATTGCAATTCTGCTTGTAGCTTATAGTGGGTTAATCTGTGATTCATTAGCCGTAAACGCCATCCATCTGAAAACATCTTGGGTCTGACTGCAAGAATCTCTGATGCTTTTGCTTATTGCATCCTACCTTCCTATATTAGTTTTCAGCTAAATACACCAGTTTTTATTTGAAAATACTTTCTCTTGTCATAAGATCATATGCAACCAAATCATGATCCATCATGCCCTTTCATCTTTTAAAAATGCTGAATAGACAATGGGTGCATTGTTCCAGCAGGGAACAAACTCCTTTTCATGAGGAGACTAATTATATGGTACGAACATCAATAAATAGTTACAGATTTGTGTATATATGTTTATATTTTCCGTGGGTTTCAACATGGTGCTCATGGGCACTAATGTGTATACACATACCATTTTTGGTTCCTCGTTCCTCCAATTTTAATTTTATTAAGATTTTAAATATATATATTTTAACTGCGAGGTTGTCATACTGCAAAATGCTGCCCTCCAGCTTCATCTATATGTGGATTCAATGGGGTGTTTTGTGCTTTAGAGTTTGACTCCAACCTCTGCCTTATACTTAATTTCTTGTGAAAGTTATTTTCTTGTAATTTCACCAGTTTTCCTTCTGGAACATCCAGTTTTTATTATTTGGTATGCCCATCATAGCAAGTATTATATGAATTATCTAGCCCCTCACTCCATGGCAGCCATTTTTATAAGTGATCACAACATTCTCGAAATTTCAGAGATGACCAGTAATGCAAAATGATTGTGAGCCCTAGATTAGATGGATTAAGTTGTGAAAGCCTTAATAACAAGAAATTAGCATAATCTCAGGCGTGATGCTAAGTACTGAAAAGATTCAGGCCTCAGGCCCACAGACAAAAAAGTAGCGCACAAATTAGTGCATGCTGATTTACATGTGCTCCAAAATGTATATGTATGTGTACATCTAAGGGACTTCTCTCCTAAGGGCACCCTTTAACAAAATAGATGTATGGACAGGGGAGAGGAGGGCATTTGCTTTCTGAAATAATCACCACCCAGGCAGAAAGATTTGGAGCCACCGCAGAAGGTGAAACAGAGATGGCCAGCCAACTAGAAAGCCAACCAGAAAGCCAAGGGGATTAGACACAACAGAAATCATCAGAGCCCCTGTACCTTTACTTCTAGTGATCGTGGACAATGGAGTGGTGAGGCAAATGTCCTCCCAGACCTAGTTGGATGCCCCATGTCCACATGCACTTGCAAAATATCTGTGCACATAATAAACAGGTAGTGTGCAGAGTGCTGGATTCTGAAAATGAAGCACTGGATCCATATTTACCAGTCAACCACAAAGCTCCCTGGGTGCTCTTGAGTCAATAATTCTTTTTTTTCCAGGTATATGAGGGAAAAGTAGGATACTCGACATATACATACAATGCCTTCAGCTCTTCAGAAGAAAGGAAGGACATAAGTATAATAAATAAGATATGCAAGTAAGACAGACATAAAGAGACAGAGCCTTTTGGTTATTGGGTGGTGTAGAAATAAATTTTCCCTACTTGTCAGGGTTGATCTGTTTAAAACTATGAAAATATACTGTTTTAATAAGATGCAGCACCTCCTTTATGCCTAATCATATGGAGATAAAATAAATGGGGCTTGACACCCAAAGGCATTAGCCACTACCCTGAATTAGCTTTGTTCTGAATCCTCACCCCTCACCGCTGCAGCCACAAAGATGCTAAAACATATAATTCATGTGTCTAGTATGTATCTGTGACTCCTTTTTTCCCTCCTGCTCCTTCTTCCCTAGAACCCAAGAAACAGCTGAATATTTGACCGAAGACTTGCTACAGGTGAGGCATGGGTCTGATCTGCGGGCATGTGCTTACCTGTACCTGCAGGCATGGAAAGAAAGACTCTCTTGTCTTCATGTGTGATTTGTTTTGGTTTCGCTCATGTCTGAGTCACAAGACAGTTTGGAATCAGATTCGCTTTCTCCCTAGAATGATCCAGATGCTACAGTGGGAGTTTCAAGCTTCACAGAGCAACAGACTCTCACTGGAAAGGGTCGGGGTTCCCTAGGAGATCTCAAATGCTAAAGAAACAACTCTGAGAGCTAGAGAAAGGCTGGAAAACTAGGGTCAGTGGATGGCCTCACCACTGCTCCTCCACAGCCTCCCCAAGTTATCTAGCACAAAATCTGCTCTTCTTTTTCCATCACTTAAGCCTGTAAACAGTGGCTGGGAATGTTAACAGGCTAGGAGTACAGAGCAAATGGCATAGAAGAAAGGTGTGCACAAATAAACCTGCCTGCATATATTTTCACTGCTCTTTCCATGCTTTAAATTAGACTTCCCCAATCTGGTGCCCTTAAGATTTGCTGAATGACAACTCTCATTGTCCCCAGACAGCAGGGCCACTGGGAATGTTGAGAGTTGTCTTCCAATGCAGGTAGAAAGCACCAGACTGAAGAAGGTTGCTTTAATGCATGGATCCAGAAATGGCCCAGGTTCACACAGGTTTGTGCTGTGCCTAGGCAAGAGCCAAAGGGACTGAGGGCCAATGAGAGAGATAAGACTAATTATGCCTGCATTTCCAGCACTGTTCAAATCTAGTCCCAATATGGTAGACCATTCAGCCTATGGAGAAAGCGGGAATGAAATACCTCTTGTTGTGTACATTATTACTATTGCATTGCACTTCTACCTCTCCTTTTTTCTTCTTGTGAGAAACCCAAGATGGCTCCAAGTTGGTGAGGTAGGTTAGGCTGAGAGAGAGTGAACAGAAATCATCCAGTGAGCTTCATGGCTCAGTGGGACTAGAACCTGGATTGCCTGGGTCCCAGTCCACTCTCATCATCACACCGAACTAGCCCATGTTCCCCAAGTGTTGGCTACCACTACTTTAATCGGAAGCTAGACTTGGAGGGGCGGGGGGATTCAGAATATTTTAACAAAGACTGTTGTAGGAACTGGACAGTCAGCTGAGGGGCAGAGGAGATTAGTGGGCAAGAAAAGGCATGAGAAAAGACTCATATAGCATATCCAAGCTCAATCTTTGGAGAATGTTGGAAGATTTAATCCACTGTCTCCTTTTAATTTCTGCGGAGAAACTTGATCTGTACACATTGTATTGGGTTGCTTCATTTAAATGATGGGAACTGAACCTCAGGTCTGTGGGCCAAATGCAGCCCAATTGGGGTCCCAATCGACATTCTCAAAATGGCTACATCCCCTTCTCCCATGACCACCAATCATTTTCAGTTTCCCTGTATTTTGCACATCCCCCCTCCATTCTAAAAGACTGAAATGCCTCTTTGAAGACTTCATTACTGGCAGGAAGAGATTTAAGCTAAAATATGCCAGGGGGTATCTTCTGACCCTGCCTCTTTTACCCCACCCATCAATGAAATGTGGCCCCCGGTAACTAATCTGAAATTTGAATTTCAGTGTGAAAGATGTTCAGTGCCCCCAACAAATGAACTGGATAATATATACGGATTTTGAGACGCCGTATGTAAGAGAGCACAACATCACTCTGAGATGGAGACCATTTTCTCTGTGCTTTCAAATATGCCCTTGCGTTTTTGAATGTCACACACATTTTACAAACAATGAGATTTTCAGAAATTTGGTTCCTGAGTCCAACAATTCTGTGAAGATTCTCATGGAGGATGAGGAACAATGCCAAATTTCTTCGGTGTGCTTGAAAAGAAAGGAAATCCTTCCAAGCCTTGTATTGTCTCTCTTTACTGTTTTTAAATCTTTCTTTTTCTCCCTCTAGATTGAACAGAGGATTGAACCAGCCAAGCGAGCAGCACACAACGTGCACAAGAGGCTTCTGGCTTGCCTGCAGGGACAATATGGAGCAGACATGGACAAACGAGTGGTAAGGCACACCTTCTACTTTCCTTTCCTCCTTTCATGATCACACGTGTGGCTGGAGTTCCCCACACGTGGCTGGAGTTCCCCACATTGTCCTTCTCCCTTTTTGAATAGGCAACTCAGATCTCAACCTTCTCCCCAGATCAGTTTCCCTGTCCAAATTACCGCTGCCACCTATATATGCATCCCTTTGAAGCTGCTCGAAAAAACCTACAGGCATAATTTGTGCTTGTTAAATTTCACACCTCATCATCTGCTAGCAATTTTCGGTGGCCATGTGGAGTGGGACTGAAATACAGGGACAAAGAGTTAGACAGCCCCCACTGCTATGGCACATGCTGTATGAAAGTCCCTCCCTTTGGGCTGCTTTTTAAGAAGAAAAGAAAAACAAGGGAAATCAGAATTTTAATATTTATTCCAACTTTACCCCACCTTTTCCTCTTCCCCATTTCATCCTCATAACAACCCTGTGAAGTAAGGTAATCTGAAAGTCATTGACTGGCCCAACATCTCTCAGGGAGCTTCATGATTGAGTAGAGATTAGAACCCGGGTCACGTGACTGCCAGTCCAACACTCTAGCCGCAATATCTCACTGGTATTAACCACGAAATTCTCAGATAACATTGACTTCAGGGTCTGACCTGCCCTTGCATTGATACATATGTTTTCTTCATCTGCCCTTGTAGATAAAGAAACTTCTCTAAAATATTAAAGAAGTAGTGAAGCCAGATGCTTTGCATTCTGGGTTTTGATTTTTTTTTTTTTTATGTTATGAAATGAGATTGTTCCTTGGGATCTGGTCCAAGGAGGAACACAAATTGGGCACTGTAGTCTCAAGAGGTACAGATCTGTTGGATGTTTGGTCATCTGTTACTGATAACTGACATGAAGGAATAGTACAAACAACAGAACCTTCTATGAAATGTCATTTATTGTCCCCATTTAGTGTTCCATATTTGGGTCATGTTTTTATCTTAACTCTGTGTCTAGTGCCAGCTCCAGTTTTTGGATGGTCCTCATGAAATGGTTTTTTAATGGGCCTTTTTCTTTTGTCTGCATTCACCCACTTACAGGAGTGAATATCCACAGTTTCTTATATAGTCTTTTGAAAACAAACCAAAACAGCCTTCTTCCACAGGATAACCTTGCATGTCAAGGACATGTACTTATTTTTAATGCCATTTTAACTTGTGCCTACTCCCAGTTTTCATCACATTCAAGGACATCTCAAAAGTTTCCCTTAGAAATAAATTGACTAAACCAGATCAGGTAGCTTTGTGGTCTAGCCAATTTTACTACTCCCCTGTTTTGCTGTAGCTCTAGTGTAATCTGTTGCAATTACAAATCAGGAAAAAAGCCTCTTTCACCTGTTCTGTTGATAAAGTTATCAAGCTTCATTGCCAGCTGAGATAAGCCATAGTAACAGGCAGGGTGAGGGGAGTCAAGTCCACCTCCAGTTATTTTTTTCTTACCCATTATGATGTTTTTTCCTACACAAAGCATTTATTGTGTCCTTGTCATTTCCTGCTCATGGTTGTTTCCAGGTTCTTTCAACCATGTCATGATAGTGGTTTGTTTCTGCTTGTCAACAGCACTGTTGACAAATTCTTTTTAGAGCAGGGAAAATGGATATTATTTCTGATGGAGGAAAGAAAATGCTGTTTCTGCCTAAGCAATTGCACTATTTTGCTATACTACAAAGCCACTTTGAGGTTATGTAGCAAAAAAATGAATCATGTGGATCTCAGATCTCAATTCTGTGATTAAACCTAAAAGCAGCTGAAGGGAATTAATAGCCTCATTCAGAAAGTAAAAAATTACTAATGATTCCGATGCCAACAGGTGCGATAAGAAAGTTCTGCCTTAACCAGAACTTCCCAAAATGTAATTGACAAATATTGTAGTCATAGGCATTGCCAGGCATTGGTTTAGAGTGCTTTTTCAGGATAAAGCCTGCAGAACTGCCCTATTTGCTCATTGTCTCTTCATTTTTTTCATTTTGCAGAAAAAGTTGCCTTTGATGGCATTGTCCATCACCATGGCTGAAAGCTTCAAGGAGCTAGACACTGATTCCAGCCTTGGGTAAGAGTCCCCATGTTTTATGGGTTAAGAAGCATGCAGAGAAGATGTACAAGAGACATATATTATAGGATTTGAGTCCAATGGGTTGTTTTCAGTGTGAGTCCAACTTAAGTCCTATTAATTTCAATAGGCCTATTCCAACCTTTGCACAAGCTTAGGTTCCTTCCACAGTATGTTCTTTGACTGTGTTTACATTGCCTGTTTCCCATACTTCAGTCTGGGCTTTACTGAAGGTCTGTCTCAACTATGGAAAATCTGTATTGCACCATGCACCTACTGGGCCATCTCTCTGCATGGCAAAAGGAGGTCAGGTGCAGTAGGGAGCACAGTGACATCATGTTTGTTTGTGCCACGTTGTTTGTTTATTTTGAACAAGTCCTGTGTGTCATTCTGGGCAGGCCTCCTGCTTATCTGTGTGACACTACAGACAAAATGGATGGTAGCTTTCTCAGTATTAATTGCTTGATTTCAGAGAATGTCAATACTGGGTTACAATTTTAAAATACAGAAATCCCCAAGCAGCTCACAAGATAAAATCCAGATAAAATGCAATCAAGCCGGTCATTAAAATCATAGAATAATGGCCTCTTTTTCAGGTAATCACAACTCAAAGTATGGGTTGAGTATGAGCTGTTGTGTAATGGTTGTTGTTACATCTGAACTGGATGGTTTAACCAAGTGTTGTTAACCACAAACAATACAGAATAAGAAAAAATGGTTGGCTGGTTGGTTGGTTGTGAAATTGAGCAGGCCCTCCTCTACCCCATAGCCAAATGAACTTCAGTAGACATGGGATGGTCAACAAACCTTTCCCCTCGGAATGTAGAGACCAGGGTGGCCTATAAAAAGAGAAAGCAGTCTCACAGATGACCTCATCCTGAGGTGCTTAGGGCCTTATTAAACCAGCAGTAACACCTTGAACATGACTCAGTAACTAATTGGCACCCAGTGTGGTATATGTGGAAGGAAATTCTACTGAGTTATCTGGGCACAGTGTCCTGCACTAAATGCAGCTTCCTAACCAATCTCAAGGGCCGGGATCATGGGCCGGGGTGCATTGCAGTTGTCCAATCTTGAGGTTACCAGTGCATAGATCATATTAAATATAGCTGTCACACTAAACTCCATGCAGAAGAAGGGTCATAGCACAGAAGAGCTACCAAGTAGCATGAGGGCTTTGTGCCAATACATGCCAATGTCCTTCACAAGATTCATTTTGGTCTACCAGCAGTTGGATAGGTGTACTCCTTATGTGCTTTACCAGTGGCAGGTGGACATACCTATAGGGATTAGGCCCACTTCTCTCAAAATGTGGCATTCCAAGCTACAAAGTGCAGACTCTGAAGGTGAGCAAGATGAAGAAGAGAAGGGTTTAGAGTGCATGCCTGAAATGCCAAGGTTGACAAGTGGGATTCACCAGCCAAATGGCTGGTGAAAACAGGATTGCGTCTAGTTTAGAGGGAGACACAGTAGAACAAGGAGGGTCTGAGGAATGGGGGAGGTGGTGCTTCACCAGCAAGCTAAGCAAGTGGCCCTGTTAAGTAATGTACAGTGATCTAGCCATCTGGCCTACAAACCTCCCTGAGGGTGGAGCCAACTTCCTATGGAGAAGGAAGGAGAATTCCATTTGAAATAACTCCTGACATGGACAAGAGCTAACTATACTTATCAGAGAGCTCACTACTTTGATAGATGCTACTTGTTAACAGCTTTATTATTACTCACCCTGTATAGCAGAGTCAGCCTAGCTCACTTAAAAGAGTAGATCTTAGAAACCTTTTATCTTGATCTGCTGGAAAAGGAAAAGGGGAAAGACATACTCATGACAGTACTTTTTGCTCATAAGTCAAGCCACTTGGAAGTGAGTTTCTCAAAAGTGTTGTAAATCAAGCCATGATGACTTAATAGCTGAAGGAAGGCCTTCTCAGTCACTGGATGGCATATTCTTGAGGGTGCCATTTCAAGCTAGAGCCCAGATGGCGTCCATCTAGAGAAGAGCCATCAGCAAAATGCTCCGTTGCTTCAGAACTCTGGGGTGATGCTGGGGCAACTTGGCTCACATGCAGACAGAGAGGGCTCTGTGTGCTTGCTGTGGTATGCATGCCATAGGTTCGCCACCACTGGCCTAACCCAACCCTGGTACACTTCCCTAACCCTAATAGAGGGTTAAAGTTCCATTGAAAATAATGCGATTTTGAAAAAGCCTTCTTTGAGTAGCTTTTTCTGCACAGCTCATCCTTTCTGCCCATTCCAAACATATTCCAACCATCAAAATCATGGCAGGACATCTCATTTTTCTAACCTTAACCCTGTGGTGGTGAACCTTTTAGAGACCGAGTGTCCAAACTGCAGCTCAAAACCCGCTTATTTATCGCAAAGTGCCAACACTACAATAAAACCTGAAAACTGAGGTTTTAGTTTAGAAAAAACACCTCACAGCCAGTCCAAGCAAAAATATATATATATCTCCTTGGCAGTGCACTGACCAGCCATGAGAAAGCTCAGAAAGTCACGGCTAATCAGTCACAGCTCATGATGTCATTGCCTGGCGCCGCTACTCCTTTCTGAGCATGCGCATGGCCCGTATGTGCCCTGTTATCCGATGCTCGGCTGCTGGGGCGCTGCTGGGGTGACTTGGCTCGCTTGTCGACAGAGAGGGCTCTGCATGCCTGCTGTGCCACGTGTGCCATAGGTTCGCTGCCACTGCTCTAGAATGGGCTTCTCTACGAAAGGTATATACTTTGCCAAGGCCGCTTCACCATTTTCTTTGTGGACAGATTCAAGCATCCTTCGCATGAGGTATATTGCAGAATTGTGAAAATACGGTTGGCCTCTGTAGGGAATAATGGCACCAGCTAGGAAAATGCCAGACTTTCCTCGCTCTTTAAAAAGCTGCAAAGATGTCTAGAAAATATGAGAGAGACCCTGGATGATGACAGTGTTGTGTAAACAGACCCTCAAACTTTTGTGAGATCATGAGCACACAATAAATGCCTTGTGTAGAAGAGTCCCAACTCAGGGAATATACACTGCCTTAACCCTTTCTTTGCTTGCTTGCTTGCTTACAGGAAAGCTCTAGAAATGAGCTGCTTCATTCAGAGCATGCTAGCAAAGATCCTTGCTGAGTTTGAAATGGCTCTCGAGCGAGATGTCCTGCAACCCCTGAACAGACTGAGCGAGGTATCCTCTTTCTCTGACATCTCATGTCCTTTCCATTTCATCGCCTTGTGCTGAGTGATCCCTCTTTCTTCCTTTATGTATATATTTATTACATTTATAGCTTGTCTTTCATCTTCCAAGTAACCCAAGGTGGCTTACATGATCTACTTACTCTTCATTTTATCCTTGCAAGAACCTTGCGCCCAATCTATGGAATGCACTCCCCAGAGAGGTCTGCCTGGCGCCGTCATTATTTGTTTTTCGGCGCCAGACGAAGACCTTTTTATTCAAACGTCATTTTAACTGTTAATACTATTTATTTATTTTATTCTTCAGCCAGGGCAACTTATTTTATATTGTTAACTTGTTTTATATTTTTATTGTATTATATTTTAGTTGATATCTTTGTGAGCCGCCCCGAGGCTTCGGCAAATGGGGCGGCATAGAAATTTTCTAAATAAATAAACAAACCTCGCGAGGTATACTAGGCTGAGAGTCACTGACTAGCCCAAAGCCACCCAGTGAACTCCACGGCTGAGTGGGTCCTTGAAGCTGGGTCCCCAAGGCCCCGTCTAACAGTTTAACCACTATGGTACACTGACTCTCCTTTGCTTTCCTATTTCCCTCACTCTGAGTGCCACAAGTAGCAGGAATAACTGTCTTTCCTAGCAAATGGGCAACAGCTGCTGTGACCAAGGAACTACCCATTCCAGAATACCTGGTGCTTCTAAGGCATTGCTTTGCCATGATTTATTTAAAAGGAAAATCAGCGCTGTGATTCCACATGACAGGGTTTAAGGTGGATGGCGCATGAGTGTGATGGCTCTTTAGTTCATGTGGGTCATTCTTGGGTGCACATCTCATGTCCTCTGAGGCTGATACATCTGCACCGTACAGGGTCCTGGATACTCTATAGACATGGTGCAATTCTGTGCCCCACAGCACTGTTGCAAAGGGGTGTTGCATGAGTTTTTAGGTCACATGGGATGATCTTGGCCACACACTCTTTCCCTCCCTCAGCCTGCACCTGTGCTTTGCACTCATAGTTAATCTGCACAGAGCATTTTGCGTGTGATGTTGGGAGAATGATTTACCAGAGCAGGTACCAGAAACAGAGACTGTCTCTAATAACTCTGATGTTAGCACTCTCTACTGTATTGATAAGTACCCATGTTTCTCCCATATTCGGAATTATTCTTTGCAACATGCTGAGATTTCAACAACTTGTTTTAGAGAGGAGGGTGACTTTTGCCCCCTTCCAGGTTTGGACTCCAACTCCCATCATGCCATACCATTGCTCTTACTGGCTGCAGCTGATGGAAGTTAGAATTCATTTGGAGGGTCACAGGTTCTCTACTTCTGTTTTAGAGTGACACTCCACTGCAGTAGGTTTGTGACCATGGCAGATCATTTGACATCATATGATCTTGGAGGAATTATCATGGTTAGCTAGCATGTAATTCCTCTTGAATCTCCCCCAATTGCCCAGTGACCCAAAATCACCTCATTCTTTCCTAGTGACACTCACACCAGACACTGCTAAAAATATAACATATTAATCCAATGAGCCTTCTGAAAAGTCATGTGTCACTATGCATACGCACATTTGCAGAATGTTTAAAAGGCTGTGCAGTTAACAACTAAATGGATTTATTGGTTCACACAGACAGTAGTGACCAAAAAAAACATTTGGTGCCATCCAACAGAGATGCCTGTAACCCTCTGAGCCTGAGGGATATGGGCATCCCATGGAAGGCAGTGCCTTCCAAAATACTTAGCTGGTTTTGACTATCTGTTTTCTCTCTGTTCATGAGGGGAGAAGCTGAGGCACCACTAGGACTCCTGATATCCTGGTGCAGCCTCTCCATGCCAGCTCCAAAGGTGCACTTGTGACTTTGAAGCAGCAGCTGGCATGCAGGGAGGGCACTCCAATTTTAGAGACCCAGGTCTGACCTCAGAGCACTTTTTCAAGGTCAGAGCTGCGGCTCCGGATGTTCCTATGGCCATTTACACTGAATCAAGGTGCTATAGGATGGTGCCTGTAATGGCTGACTTTCTGGACCAATAGAAACAAGTCCAAAATGAGTCCAGAAGTCCACAATGAAGGAAAGTTGCCTTTTCTTCCCATATCGCCATGTCCCCTCTGCCAGAATGGCTGCTAAACTCTTTCTGTAGGCTTAAAACCTACCCAATGTTCAGATATGACAATGGCATATATTGTCACTTCCCATATATATCACTTCCCATACTGAAAATACTGGCGCAGCAATTGTGCAGGAGAGAGTGGAGAAAGTGTTACAAATCAGGTCAGGAAAAATGGAATTAAATTTAATTAAATTCTGGGGATGTAACAGGTTGGCTCTTGCACTGTGTGGATTGCTTGAGGGTGGAACTTTACAGTAATGGACAAAAAGGCTCTAACTACCCCTCTCCAATCACTTTCAGGAGGAACTACCTATCATTCTGAAACACAAGAAAAATCTTCATAAACATGTTCAGGAATGGAATGCCATCAAAAGCCGGTACTGAAAGTGGCTTAGGAGGGGAAGGGAGAGCTTGGAGGAGCTTGTTGAATCTTCAAAAGGGCATATAGGTGGAAAAGTGGGCTGCTTTTGCCTGTGAGAAGAAATAGGGCAGAATTCTCCAAATGCAGCCCTTGCTCAGCTAGTGCCCATTATCTGCTTGTAAAACTGTTCTCTGTCACATCGGCCCTGTTCTAAAACTCTCTTGAATAGCAGTGAAATGCTGAATCAATGTTTGTGGAGGCGTTGGTGGAGAGTGAATTGTAGCCTGATGCAGTTGGTTCTGCTCAGGGCCAACTGATAAAGCTTCTCACCCTGTTTTACTCATCATTTCTCATAACACAAGCCAACTCAAAGAGAAAAGAGGGCAGGGTAAACCTCCCAGGTGAAGAAAGGAGCAGTAGAAAGCCTTCAGCTACAGGTGGTATAGAAATGCAATAAATAAATAATGGAAACCTCATGGTCTTTCAGGTGTAGATCACCATAGAACTGCAATGGAAATATATTTGATCCATGTATTGTCTTCACCTACCCCACCAGTTAGCCGCATGCGAAATAACAGTCATGTTTTTTGTGTCAGCCAGCATCATGGGATATACAGTGGTACCTCAGCTCACAAACTTAATCCGTTCCACGACTCTGGTTGTGACCCAAATTGGTTGTGACCCAAGTCAAATTTCCCCATAAGATTCAATGGAAATAAGGTTAATCCGTTCTGGCCCCTCCGAATGTGGCTGTGAGCCACTTTTTGGTCGCGAGCCAAGTCAAATCTCCCCATAAGGTTCAATGTAAATAAGGTTAATCCGTTCTGTAACTATTTTTTCTTAAATCTGAAAAATTTGAAACGAAGTGACAAAGAACAGCAAAGTGCTGGAAACAATACCCCCTTTCAGCTCCAGAGTCTTCCACGTGTCTCTCAGACCTTGCCCTGTGCTTGGTGCTGCATGTTCCGGGCCCTTGCATTGTTGTTTGACTTTGCTTCTGGACTGCGTAATGAATCACACTGCCTGAGAGCTTTGACTCTTGCCCGCTACCTTGACTGCTCCTGCTTTAGTCTGATCTCTGCTGGAGTGAAGCCACGGTGCTTTGAACACTTGCCTGTTTTGTTAACTTGCTTTTTAGAAAGTCTTTTCACTCTGTCTCAGCTAAAACAGAACCATTTGTTTGCAGCCCATTTTGCATGCCTACCTATGACAGCAGCCCTGCTCTTTCCTTATTTAATTTCATCCAAGGGGCTCAGGGCAATGCACACTATTCTTTCCACCTTCCATTTTATCCTCACAGCAGTCCTGTGAGGTAAGTTAGTTTCAGGGATGGCAACTAGCCCAGGGCTACCCAGTAAGCGTCAGGTCCAAGAAGGGATTTGAATCCAGCTGTCTTCCTCAACGTGGTGCTCTCCAAATGTTTCACAGTAGAAATCCCATCAGTCCTGACCACTGGCCATGCTTTCAAGGGTTGATGGGAGTTGAAGTCCAAAACATCTGGAGGATACTAGCTTTGGGAGAGGCTGCTCTAACTGCTACACCATGCAGTCTCTCCTTGAGTTTGTTCATGCTTCCTATTCCACATGCACATGTGCAGAGAGAGACAACGCCTTGCGTATTGGTGCCTCCGGCTCCAATAGCTTGCCCCAGCAGAAAACCTTTTACTAAGAAAGCATTGTGTGTGCCTGACATGTCATCAGCCTCTTGTCTAACACGTTGCTTTTTAATATTTGGATGCCATCGAATCAACCCTCACCTCTGGCCCTTCCTTGAAAATCTGAAGTCTGAACCAAGCTGCCAAGAATTCCGGTAACAGCATAAATGCTGGCACTGGTCCAGCAGGGTCTGCAGCAGCCCTCAAGCTGGAAAATCTGAAGGAGGAAGAAGAAGAAATGAGGAAGAGGGTGGAACAGAGTAAGGTAGGTGTAAACTGAAGCTGGAATGTAGTTACCCTCTATCTGTTAAATATATAAATTGCATTTGCCCCCTGCCAGGTCCCCTGGACAAAGTACAATAAAACTTTCGGTGAAGTTGACCATAAATCTAAAAAACAAAGGAACAAAAGCTATACAACAAAATTTGGGAGCGACAACAAAATGAGAGTGTCAAACAGCGCACAGAATTACAAACCCCATGGGACAGAGTAGCATTTACTACCTGTCTAAACCAGGAAAAAGAAGGAGTTTCTCTTGCGTCCCTTGGGAGGAAGTTCAACAACTAGTATGTTGCTACTCAAAATACTCTTGGAAAGAAAATACCCACCAACCTACCATTTTAGGTAGTGGGACATATACAAGAGACTCCAATAATGCCAATAGTAAACTATGGGGAGGTTCAGGTAACAAAGGAGGGGTCAGATATTTCTGTGCTTCGTTCATTGTGAAGGGAATAAAGTATAATGCTCCCGCATCTTATCCTCTAGGATGAGTACATGGCAGACTTGTATCACTTTTCAACCAAGGAGGAGAGCTATGCCAAGTATTTTATCAAAGTAAGTCAATTCCCTTAGTGTTATCCATGCATGTGCAGCTGTGTATATTCCCACTGGTTTCTGTTCAGTGTTAACTGGACCAGCGATGTTTTGACCTCTTTTAGGGCCAAATTCCATTGGCCAAGCAAAAGAGACCCACCCATACAAAACAAAAAAACCACCCAACATATTGTAGTTTAAAGCTCTATCAACACATAGATGAAAAGGGGAGAGGGAAGTGGCAAAAAAGATGAGAAGCCATCAATTGATTTGTGGTTGGGGAAAGGGAGTTTAGGCCCTCTGAGGAACCCAGAATATGGATGGATTTTGATCTTCCTCATTCTTTCCCTTTGCATCTATTTCTACTTGGAAAAGATCCATCCTCATAACCATCTATTTGATCCCTCTTTGTTCTCATGCCTCACCTCCCAAAGACAAGCTGTTTTCTGGCAGTTGACAAGACTTGCAAATTAGAAATAGCACCAGATGGAATAAAGCTGTGTTGATATGCTTTCTATCTGACAGTTGCTGGAAAACCAAGCTGAATATCACCAGAAGTCTCTGGGATCTCTGGCTGCTACTTTGGCGGAGTTGAAGGAGACCCACAACGAGCCAGGTTTGAGCTAAGCTGTAACTTTTGATGCGTCCTCTTGGGTATGAGTTGGTTCCTTTTCTGTTAGTGTATGATCAGATTGCCATTGCTTGTTGGGGGTGCCCTCAATCTCCATCTGGGAGTATGCTACCATATTACATGGTTGCAAAAGGATATATTGTGCTGTGTGAAGTCTTACATTTTGAAGTGCTGGCATTCATCCTGACAGACTCATAGAAATATTCCCAAGGAGAACCCAGGTAGCTGTATTGAGTAATATGAACCAAACAGTTCTATTAATTTTACATTTACTGAGAGCAGGTCTATTCTACAACCAAGGATTCTTAATTGCCCATTCAGGACCAAGCTATTGCAAAATACGTTGCAGTACAAAAGAACAATAGATTTTCCCCCTTCCCTTCAGCTACTTTAAGGACTGTGCTTAAATTCAGAAGGCATGGGGAATTCTGCTAGAAATGATAAATTATTTCAGCATACCTGCTAATAAGAAAGTGCTGGTGTTATGTTTCTTGTGAGCCCCGGGCCCACTACATCACCAGTCTGCACAGTGTAATTGAAATGGACCACCACCAGCTGTTGCTTATACAAAACTTCCCTCAAATTCCCTCTGGAATTCCCTCAAATTCCCTCTGGAATGTTTGAAGCAGCCTTAATAATAGCAGAAGGTGGATGTAAGAGAGAATGCATGTGGTATGCAAAGAATACATCTCTGCCTCGGTGTTCTGGAGTCTTTGGAAGACACTGTTGTACCCCAACATTTTGACAAATGTTTTTCTTCAACCATTAGGTCCAGAAATTTGCTTTTCCTCTTAGAATGATTTTTGGGTATCTATGACAGAACATAGATTTTTGTATGCCATTGCAAAACAATCATAGCCCTGATTCTTGGACTGTAGAGTCAAGGCTAGAATAAATGTGTATATTGCTGCCACTTCTGCAGGTTTGTGACACTGGGTATGTACACAGCATGATGAGGATCTTGAATTCCCCCAAAATTCCAAAAGGAATATATGATCATGTTCCTGAATTACTCTTATAAGCCCGTGACTGAGATCAAACAATATGAGTACGGGTTGACTGTGGGAGCTTGTTAGACCATTGTTGTCTTCCTGCAACATGTCATCCGAACCCAGCCGCTATAACTAACCACAATGAATGACCCACTGCTTGCAACTCAACAACCAACCATGGATTAGCTTTGTTGCCAAGTTGTGGGGAAGAGGATTCCATGGGATTGCTGTTAGGGAAGGAAGGGTTATTCTCCTTTCCCTGTCCCCAGCATTCCCCTAAGTTCGGTTAGGAAAAATGTCTTGCATTGATCCCAATAGAAAGATTAGACCCCTATTGAACTTTCTCTAACACCTGTAGAGTAGAAACCCTGACCCTGAAAGATGGCAGCCTTGCAGTGAGTGACCAGGTACGGAGAGTGTCCCTCCCACGCAGCTTCTTCCCTCCTCTGCTATGACTAGGTAATTTTAGACACCGGACTTAATGATTGTATGGAGGGTGAGGGCAGGTAGCTTGAGATGGCTTTGTGCGTTCAGCTGTGAAGCAGACAACCAGAATTGCTCTTCTTCCCAGCCTCATTCCATGTTTGACTGGTGCTTCTACATTCATGATCTATTAAAACAAAAACAAATATTTGATAGGCCAAATTTTAAAAATGCATATTCTTGGGTATATGCAGTTTAGCATTTTGAACTCACTTAAACCATGATCATAGGAATAAAGTGGAATTTCCTTCTGCTTCCCAAATGCCCTTGTCAGCTGCCATACTCTGGGTGGTCATAGGTGGTCCCCTGGACTACGAGGCTCTAGCACTAGTTGTGTCATTAGCTTCTACCAACAAAAGTTGCAAATCGATCGATTGATGCTCATGCCTGTTTCCTTCCCCTCCTTTCTCCTATTTTCCAGACTCCCCATCCCCAAGAGTCGCATCTGTGCCTGGGATGTATGGGATGCCACTGGAGACTCATCTGAAGGCTTCTGGGCGGGAGATTGCACTCCCCATTGAAGCCTGTGTCATGATCCTGCTGGCATCAGGGATGCAGGAAGAGGTAGTGCCCAGTTCCCCTCTGCCACAGATCTCCCGCGACAGAGGAGATCGCCTCACCCTTGTTCTCTTTTCCACGCTCCAGGGGCTCTTTCGGTTGGCAGCTGGAGCTTCTGTGCTGAAAAGGCTGAAGTGCAGTCTTGCCATTGGCTCAAGTATGCTGGATGACTTCTATGCAGATCCTCATGCTGTGGCAGGTACAGCCTCACCCACCTGGTGCCCTCCAAGTGTGCTGGACTACAGCTTCCAGCATCCCTCCAGCACCCAACCATGCATGACTCAGTTTCTTGTTGGCTAGGTGTATGAAGCCATCTCTGAACCATTTTCCTTTGCTTCCATTCTCAGGTGCACTCAAATGTTACCTGAGAGAACTGCCCCAGCCTCTGATGACCTGTGAACTCTATGATGATTGGCTCAAAGCTGCCAGGTAAGTTAGAACTAGAGAGACAGGTGTTCCGCTTATGATTTCACCTCAGTGCCAACATAAGCATAATATAATAGCAAATGTTCCTGTAATATTGCTTTTATCTGCAATAGAACCCATTGTAAACACCTCTGAAAATTAAATTAGGTTAAATTAAATTTGCATGGGTCAAATCTGCACTGTGCCAAAAAGGAGCACATTCTCATTATAACATGCACACTTTACAACTGGGTTTTTAAAAATGGGGATGTATCAGCCTTTGCTATGTGCTTGGCTCAAGGTTTCCATTCTGTGCACATTTATCTGGGAGTAAGCCCCTTGGAACAAAGTGGGACTTATTTCTGAATGCCAGTCTAAAAGATATTCAGAATTGCCCAACATTTCTGTTTTTGCTTTAAAGTACTGTCTGTGGTGGGGTCCCACATTCCGTTATAGCACTGGGGGGCAGGACAGGTTCCCACACTAAAGGCAACAGCAGATGTTTGGACAGAAAAATGTCCCAGAATTCTCAACTACTGTGGCTCTACTCCCACCTTTAAAGGTGGAGGGTGGATTTAAATTAGGAAAATGGTACAGCAAAGTTTGAACACCCTTTCCTGATACCATTGCTGGCTGGGGATGATGGAGTCATGGGCCAACACATCTGGGGGTCACAAGTTTGGGAAAAGGACACATGGAACGTGAATACCCTTTTCTTCTGAAACTCTACTGGCCTTCTCCCCTCTCCTTAAAGGGGAGTAACACCATCTCTTTCCACAAACTTCCTTTTCAGTTTCAAAGAGACAGAGACTCGTCTGGAGCACCTCAAGAACATTTGCAACTCTCTCCCCAAGGACAACTACAACAACTTGAGGTGTAATTCATGTATTAGTATTTAAGACCTTATAGAATAAGTTTTAACTTGAGAAGTTTTATCATACTGCTGTAGCAATGCTGTATTATTGGGTTTCAGTCCTCGTATTTTGTTTGCCTCTTCCGTCCAGAAGAAAGGCTTGCAAATATTTAATAAATACATGCATATTTCAGCTCCCATAATGACAGGCTTGGAATTGCAGGATTTGCAATCCAACACTCCTGGAAGATGTTTGGTTGGGGAAGGCTAACTGAGAGACAGCTTATTCCAGTATCGTTTCTCCATTCTGGTGAAACAGTATCATCGCATTTTTCTGGCTGGAATGCAACAGTTAAGCACAACAGCCCTACAAGAAAATCAAGGTAATATTTCCCTGGATTTCTACTAATCACCTTTTCATGACAGGTATCTGATCCGGTTTTTAGCCAAGCTGGCTGAACATCAGGAAGTGAATAAAATGACCCCTAGCAACATTGCCATTGTCCTAGGGCCTAACCTGCTATGGCCCCAGCAGACAGATGGGTAATGTATAAAGCACCTGGGAGACAATGTTCTCTAGTTGTTTCATGTATATTCAGTAAATGTGACATTCTTTAGAAATGTATGTACATCAGTAGTTGCACTTTATTTGGGATAATGGTTTAGTCTTTCCATCAGCAACTGGTTCCTCCCTGAAGCTTAAAGATAAGTACCCTTAATTTACAAGGTCGGACAGCTTATTGATCTCCGCATGTTTTGCCACAGAACTGCCATCAACCTTAGTCCATGGCGAGAGATGATGAGGGTTGTAAGCCAAAACACCTGGAAGGCCACGGGTTGCCCGCTCCTGCCCTTAGGCCCTTGGTAGAAGCCATGCTGGATCAGACCAAGGGCAGCATTCTGTTTGCCCAGTAACCGATGGGAAGCCTACAGGCAGGGCCTGAATGCAGTGGTACCCACCTATTCATGATCCGTCACAACTGGTATTCAGAGGCACACTGGAGATAGCATACAGCCATCAGGACCAGTAGCCACAGATAGCTTTATTCTACCACCCCCTGTAAAGCTAGCTAACTAGATCTCCCTTCACTTCTCTGCTTGGGAACAAAAGAGACCTTATGCTAAATTAGATCTAATAGCAACACTGCTTTCATTTTTATTCTAGAGTAAGCACAGGGGACCTGTTCCACATCAGAACCCAAGCGTTAAGGGAGTTAGGGGCTTTTAGGATCTGTACCTAACTCTTGAGTAGAAATAATGAAACTTCTAGACAAAACATTAAACTCATTCCAGTTTTGGCCTTCAGAATCAGTGGATGTTGTCAGCTCCTTTCCCCAGCTTGGTTCTTAAGGCCCTACTTGTGAATTACTAAAAAAAAAAACGGGGAGGCATGCATCATCCAAAAAGAAATTACTGATTTGAATAAAATTTGCATATGCTTATTTATATGTAGATTTAAATGATTATGATACAAATAGAAATGCAGTACAACTCACCATAATATGCAAGACTGCAACCTCTGTGCCTCTCTCAGTTTACTGTCTAGACCAGGAGTGGGCAATTAATTTTCCAATGGGGCCACGAGAGAAATTTTGACAGTTGTTAAGGGCCGGACCAATACACTTACAGCTCTGCTCAATATATATCTCTATAAAAACAGTAAATGAAACATTACAATGATACAATGAAAATGTGGAGAACAGAACAACACTATTTAATGAATATTCACAAAAACATTAACATTACATGAAAAGAAATAAATTCAATTCAATTTAGCAGATCCTTCAAAATAAAAGCAGTGCAGTTGTATTGCTTGCATCTATATTACGACGATATATACTTGCATTGACTTTTAATTTGCCAGTGACCTCATGTGGGCCAGTCAGGGTCAGCCATCGGGCCGGATGTGGCCTGCAGGCCATACAATGCCCAGGTCTGGTCTAGATGCTGTTGATGAGCAACTTCAAGGCACAGCACCTCCTTCTGGCAGTTCTTCTTCTTTAAACTGGATTTGGATTAGGTAGCCCTTGAAATAGAAGATAGCCCTCTAGCTGCCCTTCAAAGAGAGAACCGCCTTTTGCAAAAGAAAACACATAGCTGGCCAGCTAGCTCAGGCACAGAGTTTCTCCTTCCCTTGAAAACCATAGAGATTTAGAAAGTAGAAGCCACTTGATAGATGTTCGTACCCGAATGTCTAGTTACATATAATCTGCAACTCTGCTGTTTTTGAAAACACAGTGCATAAATAATATAACCAACGTGGTCAGTGCAGAGAGGGATATTTATTTTATTTAAAACTTTTATATGCTGTCCCTTATGCATGCATGGATACTTATTCCCAAATATTTATGTGCAAAACTATTTGAGCTGGTCAGACAGACAGACAGAGAGAGAAACATTTATAGGCAACAATGGGGGAAAGGACAGGGGGATACAAAGCTATGTATAGTTGTGCCCTGGTCACCTCCAGCAGGGTTGTCACTTCAACACGCAAGAAGCGTCTTATATGTGGAATGCAAAACTGCACTGGCTCCACTCTCTCTAAAGGAAAAACCTTACAGTGGATGATGTTCTGAGCAGAGGAATTTAGGGCAGACAGACCATGTGGGATGTTGGCTTCACCATTTGGCTAACATTGTTCATGATGGCTTCTTTTTCCCAGGTGCCAGGAGCAACTAGACATGGCTTCTGTTTCCTCCATCCAAGTTGTGGGAGTTGTGGAACCACTTATACAAAATGCTGAAATCCTCTTCCCAGGAGGTATCTGTTGGTCTAAATTATTTAACCCTGTCTAGTGGTACTGAAACAACTCATTCAGAGCTGCACTGGTGTGCGGGGGACTAGGGAAAGCCTGTTACTTTGACAGGGCCAGCAGAAAAGGTAAGCATGGTGGACCCACTGGAGGCCTTCCTCCTCTCTTCCATTGCTACCTTCTTGTTTATTTTCTTCTTGCTTTGGCCTAGGCAACAGATGTAGTGAGAAAGAGGAGTAGCAGCTTCCATTTTGTAGCTGCTCACATGCTGTTTGCTTATCAAGCCAATCAAGCAAGCATATGGTAGTAATAATGAGAAAGAAGATGAGGAGCGATAGCAGCAGGTGACGGTGGAAATGGATTGACAGCCAATGCAGATGGAAAAGTATTGACACAATCTGATCACTTTGGCCAGTCCCAGTTAGCAGTCTAGCTGCCCTGTTTTCCACAAATGGAAATTTCTGGACCACTTTCACTTACAATGTGTTGCAGTAATCTAAACAGCAGTTAATATGAATAACTAGTATGAATATAAATAACTATTGCAAAGCTATCTCTGTCTACATAGGGTCATAGAGTATCAACCTAAGCTGATCAACGGAACTCTAGGCCATCAAGGCCACCTGTGTTGCTAGTAGCAGTTATGGCTTTAAAGGTATCTCCGAATCACAAATTCGCTCTTTCATGGGAAGTGCATCCCCCTCCAGAACTGAATGCCATTTAACTGGACAGACAAAAGACAGGCTGATTAATTTAATGTCTGTAGGTAAATTGGTTGAAAGTGTTATTAAAATAAAACTTATAAGCAAAAAGGAGGACATAGTCTACTGTAAAAGGACCAACATGGCTTCTGCAAAAGTAAATTTCAGCCTTTCAGATTCTCTCATATATTTTTTTTTCTTTTAAGATATTGACTTCAATGTCTCTGGCCTGTTCACCCCGCCATTAAACGTCAAAGAGAGAGAAGTCCCCACAACAGAAGAACCCATATTGTTACATCTCCCTCCTGAACCTGGTTCTCCATTGCTGGGGGACAAGTAAGTATATGGATGTATTGGGCTATCTTGGCACAACGTTATCCGAGATGGATTTTTCCATTATCTGCAGCATTAGTATGTGTGGTTGTTATGTATATAGCACCATCTATGATCATGGTGCCCTAGAAGGAATGGATTTGACAGGTCCTTATCCAAGGAGCTTACCATTTAAAATACTGTGATCTGCAAATGCCTTTTCTTCTGTGGCTGTTGTTTTCACCAGTTTGGGTTGAATATTTCATATAATTTCACAATGCAGAAACAATGTCAGAAACATGCAAAGGAGGTTTGATAGGCTGAGGTGGCATGAAGGGAGCTGTCCAGTTTGTGCTATTGTTGTCCTATTCACCCTGGCCTTATGGCCCGCTCTCACAGGTGGTGGGATCATATGTTTCCCCACCACTGCAAAAGTATTTCCCTAGAATGAAGGATTCTTCTTCTAACATGCCAAATACACCCTATTTCCCAAATTTGGTTTGAAAAGGCCTACCTTTCTCTAAATTTTGATGATGTAGAATAGACTTCAATCACATACACTGTACCCATCTGTCAGACTCTGTCTGAGTTATACAAACAGGGAATATTCAAATGCCGTGTAGCAGATGATTTGCTGGCTGAGGGATTAGTCAGGCTGGTCTTCCCCTTGCCATGATGCTTTTCTAGGGAGACAGAGAGCAGAAATAAGGTGGGCAAGTGTTCTACTTTGTAAAGTCCTCTGTTTGAGACATCCAATATTTCAAGTACAGCACAAAGATAAAGAACCAGAGTTGGGGAAAGCAGGCACTTTGAAGTTTCTCATTGACAGTTGTATAACATATGGATGTAATTTATTTTCAGTTATAAAAACAATGTCTACATAGACAATCAAACATATAAACTAGCACATGCAGATTCTATATAAATCCTGCCCTCTTTTGTCTTGGTTGGGGTGGGGGGTGGGAACCCATTTCCTCTTTTTTAGCAGTATGCAAGTGGGAAGACTTGCCAATTCCAGTTTGTAGGCTAGTTACTGGTATGTTGGGTTTTTTGGGCCAGCTACTTTTCAGGTTACCCAACAATTTTTTGTAGGTTGGTTACAGACATGGAGTATTTTTAGGGGAACTGAAAATAAACGGCTAACAAGTTTTCCCCACCAATAATAGGGAAAATCCTGAGATCACCCCAGGAATAGCTTCCTCAAAGATAAGTCAACCATCCACTGAAACGGCAGTCTCCTTGCCTACCCATGTTTCTGCAGATGATGCCACTGCACAGAAATGTAAGTTTTATTCTTGTGGATGTTTTCACATCAGCCATTTTCTCTGGAATTTATACCATCTGCTCTGTGAGGTGTTTTGCAGAAACCTGCTGCTGCCCACTCCCTGTGCCAGTAGCCTTGCCTGCTGTGGGAATATAGCCACAGAAACACATGCCCCTTGCTAAATTCCAACAAGGCTCTCAAGCCAAAAAGAGTTCCCTCCTCTGCTTTATGCATTCGTAGCATGGATAGTGGTTGTCAGGAGAAAGAGATGACTGTGTGGAGAACCACAGCTATAATTCTGCTTCCAATGGGTTGGAAAAAAGCATTGTTTTTTTCACTTATAAAAGGTCCCAGAGTGAAAGGGCCCAGTGCCTCTCGAACAGGCTAGCCCTGCCATTAGTCAGAGGGATGTGATTGCCTGGCAGGTGGCAACAAAACATTGGAGGAGAAAGTGTGCCACATGACCTGCACTGAGCTCCCTGAGGTGTGGTGGAGGATGCTGTCCTATTGCCAGCATCTAAGATTCAGCTGCCAGTCCAGTTGGCTTTTTGTGCATGGAATGGAGCAGGGGGCATCACCTTGCCCTTCAGCCCAGCCAGATGTCTTCAGCTGTCCATGCTCTGGGTTCTTGTGACCTACACAAGTGGCTGGAACCTGCATGATAAACTGATTGTATGGAAAGGCTCCAAGTATGATCTTGTGGGATGAAAGGCTGCAGAAGTGACAGGTCACTCTGCTTGCAGAAACATAGTTGGGTATTAGCATTTTCTTGGGGGCGGGGTGAGAGAGGAGAGAAGAGGGCATGGGGAACAGTTGCTGTGCAGTGAATCATATTGTTATCGATCCATATCCACAGAGAAAAAAGTTTCTCAAATCCTGGGCTTTGTTTTCATTGTTTTGCCTTGCAGCAAAGCGGGCTGCTCCCCCACGGCCCAATGTGCCTCCTCCCATAGCCCAGCCTTGGTCCCCACCACCTGTGCACCCTCCAACTCAGCTGCCTCTCTCTGAGTCTTCCTCCGTCCCTAAAGTCCTGCCTCGAAAAGCGGCAGGAGCCATGCGAGCTCCCTCTGTGCCGCCACCACTTCCACCCCAGCCAGCCAAGCGTCAGAATCGCAGTGCTCAGCTGTCCCCAAAGCTGCCTTCAGAACCTCTAGGCAACGAGGGAGCAGCAGCTGCTGCCACTGAAGACCTGCCTCCTGATGACTGCGGTATAGAAGAGACCAAAGATTCTACACCTGTGGCAAGCAAGTCTGATGAACTGCCATCCATGAGAAGAAGCAGCTCTTCAACTGCACCCAGTTTGAAAGTCAAGACACCAGAGAATGACTGAACTTTAGTGATGTTGCTTCAGTTTTTAAGAAAAAAGAAGAGAAAGGCTCAGTGTAATGCTGGGTGCACCCCACATGGCTGGCAGATCTTGTTGGTATGTATATGTGCCCTATTGATTTCTCTCACTGTTCTGGCTTGGAAACTCATGCCTCTGACCTCAGCAGCAATTTCTCTTCTTCCACAGGCCTCTGGTTCTCATCACCCTTTTTCAAGCTTATGAATAATTCCTCCCCTTCACATTCTTCTCTCTTCAGTACTTCCTTTTTCCAAAGAAGTACCAGAGCAGAGCTAACGCTAAACCTTATATAGTTAAATTGATGAAGAATTTGGAGCAGATGTGTGGTCCTTTTCTTATGTTCCTCCACATAAAAAATAATCCAGCACCACCAAAACCCTTCCTGAATGTAGTTAACTACCACAGCAGTTAGCATAACCCTTTGCTTGATGCAATAGCACAAGCTGGAGACATTAAAAATACAACCTTCCCTCACCCTCTGCTTTCTGATGTGGTATCAAAATTCTACCATTCAGTCTGCTGACCCATTCTGCTTTTTATGGGTAGTGCCTCTGCTGAGACTATTTCTGAAATTCATGCCCTGAGTAAATGTTAACCAGGCAGAAAAGACATAATTGTATAGTGGCAATCCTTTTATTTCAGTTGTGCCCTATATTTTGAATTGACTCAATCTCATGGATAATGTCTTTTCAAAGGCAATGAGTTATGGTTGTAAAAATGGCATTCCATTTGTAAATTGACTTCATATATCCAGATCATGCACAATCTTTCCAAGCTGTTTTTGAAAAGGGAACAGATGAAGTACAGTAAGAATCAAAGTGGGGACCAGCAAGTTTGCCAGTAGTAGATAATAAAGATATTGTATTTTGGAGAATGTACAGAAAAGGAAATAATGTCTCAGACAGTTTTTCCCATCATAGCATTGCAGTACAGCTTTCCCAACCTGGTAACCTTCAGATGTTTCTTACTTCCTCCCATCAGCTCTTGCCAACATGGCCTATGGTCAGGAATGCTGGGAGTTGTAGTCCAAACCTCTGGAAGGCACCAGGTTAAGGAAAGCTGCTGAATTGAAAACAAAGGCTATCCTTGGTGGACTTCCCATGCAGCTCTTTCAAGTACAGGAAGTCCTTTTGGGGGTTGAATTCTAGTTACAATGAATGGAAAGCTTAGCCATGGGACTTCTTCATGTATCTACATACATCATTTTATTTTCTGACACAACTGGATGTGTGAACTGAAAAGCACTGTGCTTGACATCATATGAAAGTTTTGCCTGGATCTCATAACTCAACACAATCACATCCATGCATGCAATTCTAGTTGAACCCCTTGTGAGTTGATAGATGAGGGATGACCTCTATTTCCACTCACTTTCAGTGCAAGGGAATATCCCTTATGCTCTGGGAAGGGTTCTTTCTGCTGCAGGTGCATCTACCCCACAAACATTTAACCAATCAAGGCTGTCATAACCTTTCGGGGAAATGTGTCATTTCATAAGAATACTTTCAAAGAAATGTGTACTATCCTTCAAAGAAGTACAATAGCCAGGATCCCTTGAAAGAGGGAATGCAGTTGTGAAGCAAATGTGCCGTAAGAATCTTTTCATGCTTGAGGGACAGAAAGATATTGACTTATTTTTATACATAACAGGTACATTCTTTTTAAATGGCCATATTTATGGTTAATATGAGGAGTTTTATTCCTTCATGTTTTAAGAACATGTCTACTTTGCTTACATGTAGCTCCTGAAAGTCTTGTGCAAAATGATGCGTATTCTATGGCATCTTAAATCCCAATAAATATATTATGGCATAAGTTTGAATGGATCAAAGTTCTGTTCACTAGTTGTGACTTTTCCTCCTTTGGAGGCTTTCCCTTTTTCTAATAGTAAAGATACAGAGAAAGTTAATTTTGTATCGACATACAGCTGTAGGGTGGAGTTGGGGGTTGGCAGCTGTGGTCATGGCAGGGTGGGAAAACACTTTTCATTGCTGTTTATTCCTGCACTTCAAAACTTTTTATGGGCTCTTTCTATAAAATCATACAGTTGAAATGAGCCCCAGAGATCGTCCAGTCCACTCCCGTCTCCCAAGGCGGACACTCCACTGCAGGGTACAGCCGTGTTTGGCGATAATAAATAAGTCTTCCTCAACTGGGTGCTCTCCACATAATTTCACTATTTTCCAACGTTCCTGAACATTGACGTTCTTGGCTGCTGGACGCTGTAGTCCAACACATCTGCAGGGCACTAGATGGGGGGAAGTCTATCTCAGTGCGCATTAACTGAGAAAGGAGTCCCGCTGCGTCCTTCGGACTTCTTCCTCCTCCTGCGTAAGCACGCGTGCGACTCCATCCCCAGTGCCGCCGGCAGAGAGCAGCAGCGGCTCTGAAGGGCTCCGCCACGCAGCCACCTCCTGCCATCTGCACCCGACGCGGCCCAGACGCCGCCAGCTGGCGAGGAAGCAAGGCGCCCATTGGATGATGACCCCTTTGCCCCGCCTCCTCTCCTGCTGGCACCGCCGTAGGCCTGCAGGCCTTAATGCTTTCTCCCAACTATCCGCCTACTTCGTTTACTGCCTGATTCTGTTGTGCCTTTTTGGTCTCGTCGGTGCACTTCGCTCTGATTAAAAGCACTTGATTCGCATTTGCGGTACATGGCTTGCTCCATCACGCCTTCAGTCCTCTTTTTGATAGGTTTGCAGTGAGTGTCACTTTGCTTCAGCCCACCTCCGCTTTCTTTCCGTCAATAGGCTAAAGCCGCAGGGGTGGGTTTTTCAGTGCTGTATTTACTTCCTCTTCCTTCCTTTGGCCCCTCCCACTCATTTAGAAAGCCAGACCGACTCGCTTCTATGAGCCCTGCTGAGAACACATCTGAGAATACACATCTGTATTTGTTCCATACCCCTCCATCACTATAACGGGTTGTCATGGCTACACACTCCTCCTGCTTCCAGTCATGGGCGGGGAGTGGCCGTCTCCGCTCTGCCAGTCATAGAGACTCCTGTCCTCCAGTTGGTGGCTGAGCCTCTCCCACGCCCATTTCTAGAGATTCGCCTAGCCGCCGGACTCCTTGATTGGTGTCCTGAAGCCCCGCCCCCTGCGCTCTTCTTCTGTCCTTCAACGTTGCGGTGTGCTTTGATTGGCTGTCCTGCGCAGAAGAGCGGGAGGAGGCGGGCTGGCGAGTGCAGTCCCAGCATGGCGGCCTGCAGGCGGTTGAGCGGCGCTTGCCTGCGGGAGGTGCTGGGGGAAGCACAGGGGGTGCTCTTCGATTGCGACGGGGTCCTGTGGACCGGGGAGCGGGCGGTGCCCGGCGCGCCGGAGCTGCTGGAGCGCCTGAGCCGGAACGGGAAGGTCGCTCTCTTCGTCTCCAACAACAGCCGCCGCTCCGTGACGGAGCTGGAGCGCCGCTTCTCCCGCCTGGGCTTCCGCGGCGTGCGAGGCGAGCAGGTGTTCAGCTCCGCGCTCTGCTCCGCGCTGTATCTCCGCCAGCGTCTCCTGGGCGGGGAAACTGGCGCCGGGGACTCCCCCGCCTCCTCCCCGGGCCGCGTCTTCGTGCTGGGCGGGGAAGGGCTGCGCGGGGAGCTGCGGGACGCCGGGCTGCGCCTGGCCGGTGAAGGCGAGGAAGATGACGACAACGGGGAAGAGCCTCCTGGTCCGGAGACGCTGCCGGTGCGCGCAGTTGTTGTTGGTTATGACGACCAGTTCACCTTCGCCAAGCTCTCTGAGGCCTGCGCCTACTTGCGCGACCCGCAGTGCCTGCTCGTGGCCACCGACCCCGACCCTTGGCACCCGCTGAGCAATGGGCAGCGTACGCCGGGTGAGTGAGAGGCGGCCGACAGAAAAGGCGGGGAGCAGCCCTGTAGGAAAAGAGTGCTTCTGGGTGTAAGCAGAGTGCCACTTGCCTCACGTCAAAGTAATTGTAGGCGCCTTGTCCCCGCCCCCATCCTGGGTTTCAGTAGGGACTTCTTGGGAGGAAAGGACCCAGTAGCCAAACTTAAGAAAGGCCAGATGCCTCGACTTTCAAGACTTGCGGGGCGGAGGCAAAGTATTCGGTGGTATTCAGGATTCCAGGTTCAGTTGTTATGTTCTCATACCTGAGAGCAAGTATCTAGAGCAGTGGGTTGCTATCCCATTTTCTCTTGGGTGACCACCTTAGATCTCTTCCTTTGTAAAAGGTGTATTGCTTTACTGAAAGTTTAGAAGAACTAATCACTGTTCCCCTGGATCATTCCACTACCAAGCCTAGAGCAGTACCACCCACTTTGGGAATCCCTGATCTAGAGAATCTAGATGATTCTACTTAAAAGTAAGGTACTCGTTTTGGGGGTTATCTTGAAATCATATGGGGGTTCTTTCTCTGTTTAATTTGCTATGTTTCTGAGGTTCAAGCTGAAGGATATTTCATAACGCTATAGTATTTTCATTCTAGGTGTCTGAGCTGTCTTGACACTTACTGTCTTACTTGGAGCCACTGAATAGCTGAGCTATGGTTTGAACCTTAGCCTAACGCTGAGGCCGTGATGGGATGTGAAATTAAAGAAGGTTCTCAAGTTTGAATATGCTTTTTTCCACAACCTGTCAACTGAAGAAATGTTGTCCTTTGCCTAACTATTGACATCTGTTCACTTTGTGAAGCTTATTAGAAGTATCTAATGCACAGTAATAGTTTTATCCTGTGGGAGGAATTATTTGCATATTACATTTTCAAACACCAATTTTCCTGCAGGTCACTTTTATGTACTGCTTGTTAGATGCTAGGATACTGGTTTTTACAAAGTCCATATATTCAAATGTTTTGATAGCCCTTTGAATAAAGTAGTTCAGGTTGCTATATCTGGATTTCTTGTAGGGTGGCCTGCACAAATGGCAACCTTGCAATAGTCTTGATAGAGTACTGTGAGTTAGTCAACCATAAAGTTCCTTAAATGGGTATGAGTGGACGGACATCCATTTGCCTTTCCCGGATATCAAATGTAGATTCCAGCCAAACTGATAACACAAACTGAGCCAGTGTGGTGCAGTGGTTAGATTGTGCAAATGGGACTCAGGCAATCAGGGTTCAAGTCCCTGCTCAGCCATAGAGCCAACTGGGTGTCTTGGGGCAAGTCACAGACTTTCAGTCCAGCCTACCTCAAAGGGTTGTTGTTATGGGAGTAAGATTGAGAGCAGGAGGAGGAGAGTGATGTAAGCCATGTTGAGTTGTTCTAAAAAGTGGGATATACATCTAATAGCTAAAACTACTTGTAGCTTTTTGTGAGTTTAACCTTGGCTTTCTGGGGAGCTCATGATATACCTTACCAAGCCTAGAGGCTTTTATGTAAAAGGATTGGGAAAGTGCTACAGCCTCTGCAGTATTTAAAATTTGTTTATCCTCAGATATCCTAATTCCACTTCTGAGACAGCTGGTTTGATTTTTCATTTTTTGGAAATCTGTTGTAATTCTAATACAACAAACATTCTAGTTTACATGCCACTTTTAATAAAATTAACTAGAGAACATACCACTAAGCAAAGTAAAAGAAAAATGTGGAGTAAATTTATTAAAGCACAGCCAAGCAATACATTCAGTTGTGTCTCTGGAAAGCTGGAGAGGAGGCATCTGTCCATCAGTACCTTGGAGCCACCTCAGGATTCTGTCATTCTCAGTTGGGCTCATGCTTTCAGCTCCAGACTGGGCTGAGTTCTTAATAAAGTGAAAGGGTGTCTGGAATTTTCTGACTGGCTCTAGGTGAGAACTTATAGGTATGGACTGAACACTGCACGCACACAAGGGTTCCCTGTGTATAGAAAGCAGCACTTCTGGGAGAATGCTAGACCAGAACCCCTCTTTCTGAAATACAGTTTGCTAGGTAGAGGGTGTGTGTGTGTGTGTGTGTGTGTGTAAATAATATGAGGGAACATTCAATTATGTGAGTCCTCATCTGAAGGAGTAGAGCCAGAAACAGGATTGCCTCTTCACTAAGAAATAGAAGTGCCTCTTTTACTCATCCTTTATCTGGGCAAGTCAACTTGAACTCATAACTGAGCTGGCTATGCCCTGTGCCAAGATTGCTTATCTTGCTAGAGATCATTCTTTTGATTTGTGTGTGTCTCCTCTCTCTCAGGAACAGGGAGTCTCACTGCTGCAGTTGAAACAGCATCTGGGCGCAAGGCAATGGTAATTGGAAAGCCAAACACGTACATGTTTGAGTGCATTGTGGAGCGCTTTGGAGTGGATCCATCCCGCATGCTCATGGTGGGTGACCGGCTGGAGACAGACATCCTGTTTGGCAAGAACTGTGGCCTTGATACGGTCTTGACCCTGACAGGTGTCTCGCGCCTGGAGGAGGCACAGGCTTACATGGCCAGCGACAGCCCAGCCGCAAAGGACCTGGTGCCTCACTACTATGTGGACAGCATTGCAGACTTGATACCAGGCCTGGATGAGTAAAGGGGAACGTGGGTGGGTAGAGGTCCGAGTTGCATTCCAGACTGCCACCCTTCCCTACTTCTGTCTCCCTTTCTTGATTCCAGGCTCATCACATTCCAGTGTTTGGTCAAATGGGGTATTAGTTCCCATTCACTCTTTGGGCTCACTGTTTATTTAGCCAGCTATAGGGAAAAGGGAATTTTATGTGAACGTGTGGGGTATTTACAGGCCAACCCAGTATTTATTTATTTATTCCCCCCACCACCACTTGGCATGATGTGGTTATTTAATTTATTTTTGTTTTCCTGTTGCCAGTAGTGGCCTTCTTACTGTTGTCCTCTGCTTTGTTTTAAAGCACAGTGATGTGCTTGTTGTGGTGTCTGCTCCCAAGCTTAAATGAGGCAACCTTTGCGCCAGTGTTATTTATCTCTTCTCCTACTGCTGCCATTCCATGCCAGTGTTGGGGTTCGTGTCCCAGAACTCTTGCTGTGAAAAAGGGAACATCAGGAAAAAATGTTGAGAAGTACCATTGTGCCTGCACAGAATGGCTCTCTGGAATAATTCCTGTGGGTATATATGAAAGGAGACATTTATCATAACTATACAGCTTGTCCAGAACTGATAAGAGCTGAGGCTAGGTTTTTGATGCATGCTACGTATATGACACTGACACTGTTTGGTTTATTTATCCACAGGAATTTCTCTGGAGTGCTCTATTGTGCAGGATAAAATTGTCAGTTGGCTCAGTTAAAAGGAACTTAAGAGTGGTAAATCTAGAGTATGTACAGCTCTTAACTGTGAATTAAATATGAAGGAAGGTTCTTTTCTGTCTTGAGAGTGTTCTCAGGTAACGTAATTTTTATCAATCCAATTTTGGAATACAGGATTGCTGTTGCAACAACAAAATAGGTTGCGTAGAACTATTTTTTGCCAGAAGTTCTGAATCGGCTGTCACTTTGTCTCAGTAATCCTGTAGCAATAGCAGCTTCCAAACATCCCTGCCTCTGTACGGATGCAGGAATATGATGTTTTCCCCCTTTCCCTGTCTGCCTGATCCAGTGAAACAATCAGTAAACCATTCAACTCCTGTCTGTGCCTGAGAGGATGCACCACCGCCCCAGGGGAGGGATGAACCCTGCTCTGCTGTGGTGTGCTTGATCTGTGGGATAAAGTCGGCATTTCCAGCAATTTCAGTGTGCCACAGTATCCCAAAATCAGTCATTGCTGCTTGTCTTTTTATGGTTTATTATGTATTTATCAAAGTGTTTGTATAAATTATGCTGATCAGTTGTGCCAAGGTGGGTATGTAGCCTCTGGGCCCACTCACTGCCTGTACCTCCATGTTGTTGTGGTTTTCTGACATATGCTGTCATTCTGCATATAATAAAATGCAGGCATAAGATGGAATCGGACTTTTTTTATTGCCCACTCAGTGCAGTTGCCATAGTTTGTCAGTTCTCTGAAATGAGGACTAGCTCTGTATTACAATTAACTAAACCTAATTACCAAGCAAGGCCATGATCACTTCTGGAAAATATTCTAATGTCAATTTAAATCAGGAAATTGAACATAATGATTGTTGGAATAGCCATTGCATGCATATAGCCAAGAATCTCTTGTAAGAGGAAATAGAGCTGAGTTGTAGTGACAGGTAAACTCCTCTCAGCTCAACTTGAAATTGGCTTGGTAAACAAAGCTTCTTTTGAAAACAGAGGAAGATAACTTGGTTTCTTATGAGCCCGAATGTTATGTGTTTGAATCATTAGCATAGCCGCCGTGCCTGAGGGCTTCTTGTGCCTCCTATTCAGCATTTCCAAAAGGCAGTCACATCATGACAGAGCTGGAGGACTCTCCCCTGTCTGTTTCTTAGTAAGAAAGGATGTCTTGATGAAGGCCTTTCTCTGTGGCAACCTTGAACAGTACAGTGGTAGAGAGAGCCCTGAGCTATGTTTGGTTATGCTAATTCTTTTGATGTCCAAAGAAATTTTTATTTCCCAGGGTTCCTAGCATCTGAGATGCTGTCATCATAGTGCCTGAAGGGGAGACAGAGGCACTCTGATTAGTCATAATACAGGTAAGTAATCCAAATATGATGAGACCAAATATGAAGACACCTTTTTACCATGCCATCAAATACACTCACAATGGAGTGGACATATTCAACAGTGACCTACTGGCCTTTGGACCTGGACAGACTCCAACATACTCCTTATAATTAAAAATTGAATGGAGTGATGAGCATACTTACTGGAACGAGTAAAGCCTGGAAGGCATGTCAAACCTTCCAAGGCCAGGCCTGCAAGATGCCATTTCAAACCAGAGAGCCAACTCTGTGGCAATAAAAAGTACAGTCATGACAGTGTCAAATATTATGAACATATGCAAAAAATACCCCCCTGTAGATGCAGAAGGTTGCTTAAGGAGCAAGGCTTCAAAAATTAAAATTAACGTTACCCATGCCAAATACTGGTTTTGCGTTTGTTACTAGGATATATTTCTAAAGCCTTGCCTGTTAATGATGTCCTCATTTTCAGTAGTAGCAAGGAGCAATATTGAGACTGTCTGTGTGCCTCTGCTTATTCTGTTGCTCCACTGGGACCAACAGCCAGGAAGTTAGTGGTTCGTACAGCAACCTCAGAAGCCAGCTAGAGCACTCATTCTCGGAACAGGACAAATGAAGAGTATTCTGTGGGCTCTACCGACCTGCCCTGCTCTAGAAACAAATATTTCTGCTAGTGTCTTGTACTAGTGGTGGGTCCTGCTGGTATGCTTTTCACTAATGAAATCGTCAAATTGGAAATTTAGACATTAATATTCTTCTGAAAGTATCTGTTGGTCATGTGTCTTCCACTATAGGTAGCTACTGACTAAATGGGCCTGAAGAAAGCTGTTGACTTAATTTGCTGTGGCAAGTAAGTGGCTAGCTTCCAGGGCCTAATCCATTTTGATATTTCCAGGTATCCCTAGTATTACTAGTTATGTTTGCCAGACTGGAAAATGCAGGAAAGTTCTCATTTGCTTCTTTCCATTCATATTTCTAGTAGAAGAGATGCACTGTGCCTGTACTTGATTGTTATCTAGTCTGTGTCTTAAGATGCTTTGAGTATAATACAAAATTATGAAAAACACTGATAAAGACTTGATTAGAATAGTGAAAAGATCAAAAACTCAGACACAAAATCTACAGTTCTTCAGACTGTGTTAAACTGCAGATTGCTACAGAATGAAAGCCTACTTGCATATGTGGGAAGCCAGAGATCCCAGCAAGGTGATAGGCTTGCATTTCAGAGCTTCAGTTTCTCCACCAGAAAGGATTTGCTTATACCTTTTAAAACCTTAACAGTGATGGGATATAGAGCAGGACCTCTAATCCTGATCTTAAGGGTTGAACATGTTCTTATGGAATAAGGTGTGTTATGCCAGGTAATGTTGAGAAGCAATACCTCTCAAAAAGAGGTGCTTGTCTGCCAGCCTCCCTCAAAAGGTTTGGGTTCTTTGCTAGGTTTAATGTGTGCTGCCAGAGAAAGAACACACTCTACATTCACACAGACACACACACTGCTTAGAAAGCAAAGGAAAGTTTATTCAGCAGAAAATATAGGCAGGTACAGAACTCTTAGCCAAATATTGTCCAAGCAGCAAATATTCCTATTGCATCCCAATTCGACTCAATATTTCTCAAAAGCTTCTTGCCTGACAGTCTCTTGGAGAAAAGCGAACAGGCAAACAGAGGGAGAGTCAGCCATTACCTGTCCTCAACAGGAGTCCCTTGTGTGGCCAGAAAGGGTGTATTGCCAATGGGTGCCGAGCCTGTGTTCAGACCTTACCCCACCACTGCTTGGAATTCTCAGAATGGTGTAAAGAGAATATTTCCCTCTGTATTTTCCTTTATACTATATCCTCTTTCCCTCTACTTTATCATATAGTATATAATTTGCTGTCATGGGAAGTGGTGATGGCTGCCAATCTGGATGGCTTTAAAAAGGGATTGGACAGATTCATGATGGAGGAGGCTATCAGTGACTACTAACCTTGCCGGGTATGTGCCACCTCCTTTACCAGAGGTGGCATGCTTGCATACACTAGTATCTGAACAGGAGGAGGTCTTGCACCCACCCTGCTTGCTGGTTTGCTACTGTGTGCATGGAGTGCAGGACTAGATGGACCTTTGGTCTGATCCTGCATGGCTTTTCTTACGTTCTGTACCTGCTTTTACAGGAAAGGGAAGGTTCCCATTGCTTCCCAGACTCCTGCTGATTGTCAAATGGGTGATTGACTGCTTCTTGTTGACCTTATCTATTGCTGTCTGCTATGTGACCATGTCTATTTTCTATGGGTCTGAAAGTGAGTGCTTTGTGTTTGCTGGCTGCTATTGATGGGGTAATTTCCAGGTATCTCAGAACATCTTCCTTGCAGGGTCACTTTGCCTAATTTCTTTAAGGGGAAATGTCTTTTGTCTGACCTTCTCTCCAAAAAATCCTTCCACATTCATTAGTCACTCTTAATTCTTCTCCCATTCACACTGGCTAGCCTAGGATAGTGGATCTCCTGAACTCAGGCTTATCTCAACATGGCACTGCCTCATAGCCTGGGAGTCTGTTTTAGTGGTGCTAATTGCACATGCTACTGCTGCCTCTTGAGATATTCCTCCATAGCACTGCCAAGGATTTATTTTCTTCCCCCATGACTTGAAGTCAGACATAATGATCTCTCCTCATTTCTTTGCCTCCAATGAAGACTGAGATGGGGGAAATACCATTTTTACCACAACTCTAAATATCAATTGGACATTGAAAACTGGATGTGTATTCTTATAAGAGTAATTATCTTGAGCCTGAATTTAGCTTTTCGTGATACCATAAAGCCAGGTGTGGCAACAGCTTTGTTGGGACTAGAAGATGGTGAACTCAGGACAGTGAACAAACAAGCCCCTCCCTGTCTTTGCTGTCCTGGTAATGTCTCGGGGGAGCCCCAGAAGTCACGGTTACCTACTGAGCCTTTGTGAGGGTGTGATTGGTGCCTAGTAAGAGGAGGGGGGGTGGCAGTTACTGATGTTCACTGGACTTGGATCCAGCTGGACCGTGACTGGAAATCCACTTGTGTGACTGCACTTCCTTGCCCTCTGCTACCACTGTGCACGTCCCGCTTTTTCTTTGGAGAGTCCTTCAGCCTCTGGAGCAGATTTGGGCATCTGCAGAGAGAAAGAAGAAACCTGCCAGTGGTGCCCTCCCGTTGATGTCCTGGCCCTGGAGATGAGAGCAAGGATATAATGTAGTGAGCAGCACTCATCTGCAAAAGGAAAGGGTGACATTTGTCTCACTAATGGCTGCCTTCATTCCTGTGATGCCCTTCCAAGGGCCTTGCCCTCCATCTGCGTACTCCCACCATTCATTCTCTCTCCAATCAGGCTTTGAAAAAATACGCTCACTCCAGTAAGATGTGTTTTGTAAGCCTGACAGCTGCAGGGAACACAGGGGTGTGTATGTCTGTGTGTGCATAGGGGTGGATTGCATGTGATTAGTCCATGGCAGTTCCTCCCCACTGTCCCCAAGAGTAATTGGTACTTCCTATCCTGAAAAAAATTGCTCTGCAAATGAAAGGGGGGTTGCCTTGTGTATGTCACATGCAAACTGCAACTTTTCAGCTCCTTTCCATCTGCTGTAAAAGATGTTGCTCAAAGCAGGAAGAACGTAAAAGCAGCATGGTGACCAAATGTGAAGGTTCAACTATCCTGCTTCTGTGGGGGGATGCATGGAGATGCTCGGGTCAGAATTACAGTGTGATTGTGGAATGGGAGTCTTCATCCCAAGTAGTTAGAGCAGGAGTCCCCTTCCAGATGACATTGAACTCAAGCCACGTCTGTTCCAGCCAGAATGGATTCTGGAACTTAGTGTCTCAGCATCTGGAGGACTAATTTTCCTTAACTCTAAATTGGAGGTTAAGAATGGACATCTGCAGCCGATCATTTGAAATCCCCAATTCTTCTGCATGTTAGTGTGGTTTAAGAACTGATCATATTCAGAAGCAAAAGCATGGGGATGTGCAAGTAATGAATTGGAGGCTAGTTCTTTGTTCCTTGTGGAGGAGGCTGTTGTGCTGCTTTACATTTACCCTTATTCCATTTCCTTAAAAGACTGGATAGATGGCTGTGTGCTCTAGTATATCTAGAAACCTCTGGAAAGCGCAAATTTGCTTACCTCTGAGGTATGAAAAAATTGTAGTTTCTCAGCACTGATGTTAGCAGTTTCAGTTCTAGGAAACTTGCATTTCCCTGGAAATGAAGCCCCTCAAGGGCAACAGTTGGATGCCCACAACTTCAAAAATATGTATTACTGAAAGTTAGCAGAAAGTACCAACCTTTTGCATAATAGGTCATCCAGTAGAGGATGCTCAAATGTATTAAGTAA